GAAAAACCATGCCCAACCCACGGGTGTAGCAACAGTCTTGCACAACGGAGCGCTTTGGTGCTGAGCTCTCGCAGCCCCCAACATGCGCCTGAAATTGCAGCTACACGCAATATTCTGGCACGGAACACGGGGCAGAAATCCCGTGCGGCGGGAACTGTACGATCTGGGATTTAGGTTTCGGGCCCTGGGTTCAAGCATCAACTACTCCGAGAAACGAGTTACCAGCAGCAACAACTACGTCAGGCAGTTGGAGCGCAGGGTTCGTTCAGAACAGTGATTTCGTATGTTGCTTTGGAGGCATCGCACGTGAAAGCCCTTAACTGTTGGTAGCATGACGGTTGCTGACCTAAACTGCCAGAGGCGAGCGACTGGCTTTGGACCCAACTTGGCCCAGTTAATGCCATGGCACAACCACGCAACCCACCACACGACTGCCCTCGTAAACCACGAGGAAGCCTTCCTCATGCTGCAGCCGGCAGCAGGTGCGGGCATACCGCGGGCATAGGGAAGTGGCCAAGACCACCACAAGCTGCCATAGCAGCCCTATAGAAACCCTATAGAGACCCTTAAAGATCCGTTTATATGTATATTGAGCCATTATCTTTTGTAGTGACACACTTCCAGGAGGTCCTTTAGGTCGCTGCGCATGCTTCGCAGATCGTCCGATGCAGTTTCCTTCCAGGCTCTGATCGAGTTTCGAGTTTAACCCTCAACCCTAAACTAAGCTTAAACCCTATATTTCAAATCCTTAACGCTAAGCCCTCATTAGGCGCGAAATCCTTTCAGGTTTGAAGTGTGGGCTTGGTTCTGGCGGTGAGCTCGTGGAGCCACCGATTGAAACGGGGTTAAGGTTTAGGGTTGCAACTCAACTTGCAATGTGTCTGGGATTGGATTGAGCTGGCAGGTAAGTTTCGGATTCTTGCCCTGGTTTTGAAGCCCTGAAACCCTGAAAACTTACCGCTTAACCCCGATCAATGAGGCGAGGCTCCGTCCGGACCAGTGCAAAAATCTCGCACTCTTCGGCGAAACGATCTCCAAAAAGGCCGAATAAGCTGAGGTTGAGCGTGTAGCGAATGCCTTTCAGGGGTTGCAGGACTGAAAACTTTGTAAACAGCTGTCTTGCATCATGCTGCTTCCCCAGAGAGCCCAATATACTGTAATAGCTGAACAGACACTAGCTATCACTAACTGAGATCACTAAAACCCTCAACCTGTAGGGTTCTTTACGACACATGCAGTATAAAGCACCCCCAAGCCTTTGTTAAGCTCTTCAAGGCCCTATCGTGACTTCCGCAAGCCTTTCAGCCCATAGTGCAAGGGATATTCTGTTACAAGAAGCCATCGCGCTCCCTTGGGCCATTGGTTTACACGGTTTTAAGCTCCCTAAACTTAAACCCAAACCCCAAAAACTCCAAAACCCCAAGCCCTTGAAACCCTGAAACCCCGAACCCTCAACACCCTGAAGCGCTGAAACCCCATAAGCCCGTAGGACCCTTTAGAAAGGAACCCTACGGCAAAGGCCTGTGAGTCGGAAGCCCACCGCTTGCAGCAGCAGCGTGAGGACCGCGAAAACCAGCAAGCTCGTCAGGGACCCGGCGAGCAGCACCAGGCATACTACCTGTTCAGGTTCAGGGTCTAGGGTTTAGAGTTTGGGGTTTGGGTTTTGGGGTTCAATGCAAAAGCAGGTGCGGGCAAGAAAGGGCCGGTTTACCTATACCAAACCAACCTGCACACAACACTTTTGAAGTGCTAGCCGTCCTTTCCTTCAGTGCTGGAAAGGGGCTGCAGCATGTAACCACAGCTCCATCCTGAACAGGCTTTAGCTGTTGACACCCCTCCACAGTTGGAGGTTAGCGACCGGTACATCGGTCGGCTTTCTGAACAACTGTCTTCCCTGTTCAGCTTTGGCACCTCGCCAGCCCAGCTCACTTAGAGGGTCGCTGGCCTTCAGCTTCAGGCTGAGATCCACTCAAACCTTCCAGCTGGCTATCCACTCAGACACGATGCTCTTGCGTCTGAGGTTCTCGTACTTGATCTTGCATTGGGCTCTTCTCGCGTGGAAGTACAGGACATACCTGAGCTGCTTCGTCGTAGGCTGCTCCTCGCCTCCATCCATGAAGCACGGTGCCAGAGACGATCCACCAGGTCACTCTTGATCCCTGTCACCGGAAGTCCTTCCAGCCTGGCTCTTGTCTGCAGCTCTGCCACCGTCAGCAAGGACAGTGTGTCCCTCACCACACGAAGTCTTCCTGCGCAGCTCTGTCCAGACGCAAGGCTTTCCTCAACTCCCGCCTCGTAGGCAGGACTACTCTCTGCACCGCGCCCCGAAGCACGCTCTCTTGAAACTCTCTCCTCGTTTCCAGTGCGGCGTCTCGGCTTGGAGTTCCCGCCACCAGTGTCCACAGCTGCCGCTCTGCCCAGCTCCACCGGACTGAGGGCCGTCGAAGAAAACTCGCCAGGTTCCATGGCTGCGCGGACTAACCCTGTGCTGGGGCCCAGGCCCCTGGTTCCAACACCTCCGTACAGCCAAGCCCAGCCCTTCAAACACAACAAGCTTAACTTGCGGAACGTGAAAACCAACCCGACCATGGCAAAAAAATACACCATGAGGACCCCTAGATCCCCCGAGTCATCCTGTGACTCCCGGCTCCCTTCTTGCACAGCGTGCGCCACTGACACGCAGCAGGCTAACACAGCTGCCGCCATGCCCCTTTCCAAGGGCAGCTGCTTCACTAAGGACTCTAACCTGCTTGCCTCGAGAGCCTTCGTGCCAAGATCGGCAAGATTCATTGATGTGTCCACTTTTCCAGTGGACAGCTCTTCGTCACGAACGGTTTGCTGAATCCACATCTCCTTGAGGCTAAGATGCTTCACTTTTCCACATCCTACCCTCTGCGCCATCGATCTTGCAGCCGAGCTGTCGCTCAGAACTGTGTGCTTTGTCCTCCACCCAAAGTGCTCGAGGATGGCGTGCGTGAGCTTTCCTTCTGCTGCTGTCTTGATCATAGCATAGAATCCGGCCTCGCCTGAGGAAAGGGCCACCAAGGATTGCCGCCCACAGCAGCAATCAATCAGATGCTTTCCGAATCTCTGGTAGGTCGACGACACGGACTTTCGGCTCTTCTTGTCGGTCGCCCAGTCGGAGTCGCTAAAGGACTCAAGGACCCTGGGGGTCTTCTGCAGCTCAAAGTGCCACTTCTCGACAGGGTACGTCGCGATGTACCCTGAGCCAATGGATTTCGAGGGGCCGGCTCATCCCTTCGGCAAGCTCGCTCGCAGCGAACTGGCCTGCCACTCGGCGGAACACATCCGCTCTTTCCTTCTCAAGCTCCCGGTCAACAAACCTGTTTCCTGCTCCTGTGGCCTTTGAGGACGGTGTGTCTACACTCCTGCATCCTTTGAGCTTTAGCTCCTCCACGACCTGCTCCGAGTACTTTGGGTCTGCTTCCCACGTGAACCCAGAGCCCGTCCACTTGATCACTCTGCCCAAGTGCCGACCAGAATCGGTTTCCCCTCCATGCTTGGGGTCACCAATCCTCGACAGAACCTTCACTTCGTAGTTCTGCTTCATGATCTCGTCCATCTTGTCAAGCTCACTTGCTTCTCCGCTCGCCAAGACGTCGTCACCGTGGCACGACAGCGCCACATCACCACCTGCAAGGTAGTAGGTGTTCGGGCAAAGCAACAGCTCGCTGTAGCCGTCGGCGGTCTTCACCTTCCGGATCTTTGTGCCCCACTGTCTTCAGGCTTCCCTCGTCCCATTCATGGCCTTGTGCAGCTCCCAGATCGTGTCTGGGGTGCCTTCGGAGGCCGGTGGAACGACACCGATCCTTTCACTGTCCTCCGCGTGGAAGAAGGCAACGCTCACGTCGTACCTGGCAACAAGCTTCTTGCTTACGCTTTGTCCTGGCTTCGCGGTCGCGGCGTGCGAGATCACGGTGCGATGCACCCTCAAGGGGGGAGTGCCCATCGACACGTCCTCCCGCTTGTAGGTGTTCACCTCCTGCGCCACAAGCCGGCTTCTCACGCCGGGCTTTCCAGTGATCTCCTTGGCGATGTCCACCCATCGGGACCTCACCAGGCGAAGTCCTTTTGCCTTCGCCTCCTGGTAGCTGATGTCGCTCTTGACACCAAAGGTCTCCATCTGCTTCATCTCCTTAGCTCTTCCTTCCTTGACCTGGTCCTCGTTGAGGGCTTCTCCTGTCCTGTCGTCGTACACGGCACATAGAAGCACCGCGTCTCCTGGATCACCCTCAGCGGGCCACTCGTGGAGTGTGGGAAGCCCCGCGATGATTTCACCATCATCGTCTGCTGTGCAGGTCCCTCGGCTTCTCCTGAGGCCTCCGTCCGTGCCTCCTTCGCTGGGCCGCCACTCGCTCCGTAAAGGAAAGCGAAGACCACCGCCTCTTCAGTTCCTCCACCCTTGGCGTAATCCTCAGCCTGTACCTCTTCTTGGGTTTCGGCTTCACGGCCGCTGTCCTCTTCACCAGCTCCTCGGTCTCCTTCTGGAAACCCTGCTCTCTTCTCCTCAGCAGGGCGTCGTTCGACCTTCCTCCTCTTCTGCGGCTCTTGTTCGGCCTCTTCCTTGCCTGTGCCTTTGGCTGCTGGTCCGGCTCACCAGCAGGGCGATCCTTTTTCTTTGCTTCCTGGCCGCTCTTGGCCTTGCCCTTAGAGGGCTTTCCTTTGCCACCCTTTTGGTGGCTTTTGTTGGACCTTTTCCGGTCCTTGGCCGCCGTTTTGCCTACTGGCTGGCCCAAGGCAGGGGAGCGCCGAAGCGCTTCCTCCCGCCCCGGAGCGCTCCCACCTCAAGCTGGTCCCGCGGATCAGGGACACAGCTCCGCTACCATGCAAAAGCAGGTGCGGGCAAGCAAGGGCAAGCAAGGGCCGGTTTACCTATACCAAACCAACCTGCATGCAACACTTTTGAAGTGCTAGCCGTGCTTTCCTTCAGTGCTGGAAAGGGCTGCAGCATGTAACCACAGCTCCATCCTGAACAGGCTTTATCTGTTGACATTCAGGGATCAGGACTTATGAGGGTTTGGGGTTTGGGGTTTCGGCAAGAAGCTCAAACTGTGTATATCATAATATAGGAACCTTATGAAGAAACCCTGAGTCTTCATTGGGGTTCTTAGTATGAACCTTAATATATTGAGGTTATAGGGCCAGGGTTTCTTAATCAGGTTCCTACATTAGACTATAATGCGGACTACCAGAAGCAACCCAAGACGTTCACAGCTCTGCCATTGTCGAAGTAAGCTGCTGGAATGCCAAAGGCCAAAGCTTTGCACTTCGAGACCGGGCTCCAGAGAGCGCGAAGCAAGAATCGCTCGAATATATTCTTCTGATAATACGCCCCTTGCCCTAAAAGAGGCTCCATGATCATTGTGAGAGGGCTCAGTGAGATCTCGGCCAGCCTCACAAAGAACCAGTAAAGGCGGGCTTCTCGGCGCGGGGGGGGGGATTGGCTGAGGGGTCGAAGAGCTTGCGACCGAGCCAGGCGCCCACCATCATCCAAGGCCTGCGCTGCACCTTCGGGCGTATGATAACAAACGATACCATCCAACAACTATCACCATTTACCGACATCACCCGCCTCAGCAGTATGAGTATTTGCTATCGTATTATCAAGACAGAATGAGTTCTGCAAAGAACTGCCCTATATGATGGGTAGCTTGAAGATAGACTGACCTTAGAACACCCTGGCCCTCAATTTTTCACAACTTGTGCGATCTGTGAAACCCTATGAGGTTCCTTTGCATGAGCCCTAACTCAGAAGCACCCTGACCTCCAGAAGAAACCCTAAACCCTAAACCCCAAACCATAGGCCCCAATCCCTAAGCCCTAAACCCTAAACCCTAACTCGCCCATCCTTCTTTCGG